CAAGAGAGCGAACAAGCCAGATACTGATAGTGCTGGCCTGGACATGCCAGCACTCATTTACCAACTTTCTGGAACTTTCGGTGGAAACATCAATTCCCCCATCTCTGTTCCTAAATGTAATCTCTCATGGTCACAGATTTCTGCAGCATCTGAACATTAAGTCTCATGGCCCCTCTGTCTGATAGCCTGGAAGCTCCATGACTGAATCCCAAGGAACTAGCATGCTTGAGATCAGTTCAACAGGTTCTGTTAGGAAGCAGAAAACCATCCACCAGAGCTACATACTTGGCCAAATGTACAAGTTCTTGATGTGGTCAGGACAGAAAGGGGTCTTACCCACTCAAGTGCCAATGCTGTGTACAGTATTCTGGATTATTTGGTTTCACCTAATGCTTCAAGGGTTGTCATTGTCTTTGATTAGAGTATATCTGGCATCTATATCTGCTTTTCACCTGGGGCTAGTAGCAAGTCCATCTTCGCTAATGTGCTCTGTAGACATTTTCTTAAGGGACTAGACAGGCTGTACCTACACGTGAAATGGCTGATTTCACCTTGGAACCTTAAATGGGTATTATAGAGACTAACGGGGGCCAAATTTAAACCCCTTGGTAACTTGCTTTTTACCTGTGTGATGGGGAGTCTGCCCCACACTGGACCTTGAAGAGGTTAAAACCCAGCACAGGAGATGGCTGGAACCACAGAGCTATGGAGCCAGTAGCTGTGGCAGGTATTAATCAATTAGGGCCCAGCTGAGGGCAGTATAAATAAAGGCTCCTGGAGGGGAGGAGAGATTCAGACTCATTTTCACCCCAGCTGCGGAGCAGGAGGGGTCTAGTTGCTAGGGAAGCTAGAGGCTTCTTGACTTAGAACAGGGCTGGGGAATGGCAGGCAGAATTGGGGAAGCTCTGGCCAGGCAAGCTCCCAAGCTGAAGGGCTTGAAGCAAGGTCTGAGAGTACTAGGGCTGCAGGGCGATAGCCAGGGCAGTAGAAGGCAGCAGGTCCACACCCCTTTGCCAATGATGAGTGGCCATTTCAGACTGCAGCTTGTCCCGAGGCAGGGGCTAGATGAAGACTGGCAGTAGGGTCACTGAGGCAAGGTGGGTACAGGAGCTTGGGGGTTCCCTGAAGGGAAGGATCCCAGAGTGTGGGGGCACTTCAGAGAGCAGTACCCAGAGGGGAGGGTTGGGGTCCTAACACAAAGTGGCGGAGAGCAAAGCTAACAGCAGGCAAGAAACCGGCCAGAAGGGGGCACTCCAGCACTGAAGAGCTAATTCCCAAGTGACCAGCAGGA